GCTTTATATAACTGGCCCTGGCATCTGTGTTCCAGGACGTGCAATGACTTGAAATGGGAAAATACCTATTTCAACTGGTCTGTCGGAAGATTACCAAATAGCCAACTAGCACAGATTTGAATTCAGTACCTCACAGTACTGCAGAAAGAAAGATTTCCTGGGGATGTGTGGACCTCGGGAGTCCTCCCTAGCACAGACTTTCTACTCAGTGATCTCAGAAACACAGAAACTGAGGGGAGGACACAGAGAAAGGCAAGATGTCCATCAGAGGCACACTGCGTCCACGAGACTGGTGGCATTTCATCATCTGCAACAACCACAGTTGATAATTATGTACCGCAGCTGTCTAATTTGCCAAAATATAAAATCTTCTCTATAGAAAATGATAAATTGATGAGATGGCAAATATACTAATTAACTTGATTCAGTTCACACTGTTCACTATAAATACACAGAAGTACTTTTTGCTAATTAAAATAAATGTCAAAGTTTCAAAAAACAAAAAGTTTTACTCCTGTAATACATGAGGAGTCACTAAGGGCCTACAATCACAATCTTGTCACTTCTTAGGATTGCCTTCCTTTGGGTAATAATTATTTCTTCCTAAAGGAAAGACTAAACACAGATCAACATCTTTACTTCTTTAAGTTCTGACTACAGGCTTGCTAAGAGAGAATGGCCTCAGGCAAACATTAGGCAACATTTTCTTGACAACCGGCTTAATCCTGAGGAGCACCCTTGAATGACCTAAGATCCCCGGTAGCCCAGCAAAGCTACAGGTAAATGTCACCTGACAAGGTCGCACCTAGGCAGCCTGCTCTGGGTGTGTTGGGAGGTTCACTACTTTTGTGTGCCACTCTTCCTGACTTACTACTGTCATTCCTGTAACCTAGAACTCACTGAAGCAAAAAGATCATGGCACCTCAGAGACCAGAAGAGCCTCAAAAATAAGAAGAAATTTTCACCTCCCTGTTTAATAGTTAAATAGCCGAGTTTTTTTCTTTTATTGAATTAGATGTACTCATTTTCTGTGTAAGTGTTTTGCTGGCACGCAGGTCTGTGCATCATACACGTGCTTGGTGCCTCCACAGGTCAGAAGGCACTGAATCTTCTGAAACTGGAGTTACCAGTGGGTACTGGGAATGGAACCCAGGTCCTTTGCGAGAGAGACAAGTACTCTTAAACACTGAACTATAGATGGAAGTTTCTGCCCCACTCAGGCCCACAGTCGTTCAGTCCCAAAGAAACACACAGAGGCTGTGTGTTTATTAATTAACAGTTTATTAACAGTTTATTAATTATAAACTGTTTGGCCTATTTGCCCAGGCTTATTGTTAACTAGCTCTTACAACTTATATTAACCCATACTTCTTGTCTATGTTTAAGCCATATGCTTGGCACCTTTTCTCAGTAAGACATCCTATTCTCATCTTGCTTCCTCTGTGTCAGACTGGTGACTGTATCTCTGCCTATCCTCTTCACAAAATTCTCCTAGTTTGCTTGCCCTGCCTGTACTGCCTGCCTGACTACTGGCCAATCAGTGTTTTATTAAATCAATATGAGTGGAAAATCTTTACAGTATACAAGAGCATTATCCCACCTGCTGTGAGTGCTGAGAACCAAACTCAAGTCCTGCATGCATTCTTTACCACTGACCCATCTGTTCTGCTGTGATAAATATCAAAAGAGAAAGAGAAGGAAGTAAGATTCAGTTTGGCTAAAAATTTCAGGTTTCAATCCATGGTTGGCTCTCCCTTCTTCCCGAATTATTAGTATAAATATTGACTCCAACACATTTATGTATATATATATATATATATATACATATATATATATATATATATTACACACACATGCACTACCCACACTCTATTACAAAATTGGCAAATGTACATGAACGTTGAGAGAAACCATGACCCAGCTGTGCTCTGACACTACTCTACAACTGTTTCCACGCATCTAGCCACTTGTCTATTCCTATCTACATCAATTCATTTTAATGTTTTGAGTGGAATTATAAGGAAAAAAGTCTTATATTTCTTTACAAAATATAATAAACATTATATTTTTATTTCTAAGCAATAAAGTCCTCCTCCTCAAAATAGCTTATCATTTTATAAGCATCTGTATCAGAAAACAGTAGCCTTATATTTGAAGAGAAAATTAAAATAAATCACTAGCTATAAATTATTCTACTTCCTCATTAATGAAATAAGCTTCTTATGGGCCATATTCATGTGAAATGCTTGCTTTTTCATTCAATCAGTATTCACTTGTTCCTCTCAAAGTTTCTGCATGTTTATGAAAAGCTCTGTTTGGTGCTGGTTCCCGGCTAAGGGCTCTGGAGGTTATTCAGTTTCACAGAGGTGGAAAGGTGAGTGACTGCCTTCTAAGTACATTTCAGGTAAAAGATGCATTGATTGTTTGTAGGTGTCCTGCAGCTTAACAATTTTTATAAATAGACTATTACTATTTAATTTTACTAAAACAAACACTTTACTGAATGATTTATTCTATCAGGGAACATTTCTTTTTGGAAACAGCAATTTTGCACACATACAAAGAGTTCTCAAGAAAATATAAGAAATAAGTCTTACAGTTTAAGTATGTTTGAACTTGGAGAAAAGCCAAGAGACACAGAAAGATGTCTGGAGAATTGCTCTCCAAGAAGAACAAATCCAAACTGTATACAAACACATACACACACACACTTGTCTATTAACACAAAGTCAGACTCTGACCTCAGCCTTTGCCAGCCAGACCAAAATAAAGAAAATGCAGCACTTCGCTCTCACCAAGGATCCCACCTGAGCTACTTTCCTAATCTCCAGGGGGCTCCTTTCTTCCTCCTCAATTTAAATGCCCCAAGATGGCCTTAATTCTTTAATACGTTTTTAGGGGGTATTAAAACAATGACTAGCTAAACCAGAGAGACTCATGCAATCCTAAGGGGATTTGACCTGTTTCATCTCCCCTAGATAACACGTCTCAGTAGCAGATTAAACAAAATTATGTTTCCAACATAGGTTATCTCATTCAGTCTCTACTAACAGACATTTCTCTTTTCTTAATGCCCTGTATAGCCTACTAGTGAAAGAGAAACTAGAGAATTTCATTGTAACTGAAAGCATCCAAAACCAGAAACACGACAAAGTAAGCATTCCCCAAAAGAAACATCTCACAGAACCAAACAGAAAAGTTTGAGTATAATGCTGATGACAGCAACAAAACTTGTTGCTATCATAAGACACTCAACTTAAACCAGCACAGGGAGGGAACATTCACATCCAGAGGAGAGGTGTTTCCTAGGGCAGAGGCTTCAAAACTACCAACAACTGCTTTAAAAGCAAAGAGGCCAAAATCACAGGGAAGCTGCCATGCATATACTTTCAAAAGTGCTTACTCATGTTTATCTTCTCCAGCCCCTTAGGCAAGAAGCTAACTCATCAATTTTCCCTAGAAACAAGAAAAACAAAGTAGCAATGAAAGCAAAGAATAAAGCCCAAAGTTCAAGTACGCGTGACTTTAACCCCAATATTTTCAGGGTATGCTCATGCATGAAGACTGCTACATTTAAGATGAAGAGTCTCTTGAAATATGCTAACACCATTCAGATAAAACGGCAAGATTCAATTACAGATAATAACTCTTGCAATATATTAACATTTTCTGGGTTCCAAAAATATGATTTTCTAAAGGCCTCACTGCTGTGTAGAGTTCAGAGTACAACTTTATATATAGATAAAATTAATTATGGAGCACAAATGTCTGTAGAAGAGCATACCTCCTCAAGCTTGACCAATCTGCGTCCCCCCACTCTCGGGACAGCTGAACATCTGTCAATCAGCCTACCCTTGTGCCGATGACAGCTCGCAGCTATTTTGGAAGGTAGTAGCTGAAAACTAAACAACCAGTGACAGTAAGTGTCTTCAGGAAAGAGTAAGGAACAGTGGGACCAGTCCCTAATCTACGGCCACTTGCTATCCTTCTAAGAAAGCCAATTCACTAAGCCTGAGGTTATTACCTCATGACATGATAACACTCCCTTATAAAGTTGTTCTGATAAAAATAAAAGAGCATTAGCAAAGTCTCTGAAAGTACTGCACAAGAACGTTATTAGCAAAATCAACCCCTTCATACAATCCTTCCTTTTTGTAAACAGACTTCAAAAATTCTACCATAAAACATATATTCAGGATACAGCAAGTGCACATATACAACTGAAAGAGAATTTTTAACAGACCCTGGTTTATACCATCCATTCTAAGAAATGGAACGTGATTGATCATTTGAGCACCCCAGTCACCTGTATACCATTACATTCCTTTTTGTTCCAGACTACAACGCTCATGCTAACCACTTACCTGATTTTCATACTACTTATCACAGCATCTATGAGGCTGCAATCTTTCTGTCCAGGTTTTCATCTTCCTTCCATCCTTCTCCGAGAGTACATGCTGTCCTCCAACTTCTAAAATATTTCTCTCAGAACATTATTTGACATTTTTATCAAACTGTCAAATAATCCCTAAGGTTGGAAGAACACTTGTATGTATATAAAGAAAAATGAGTCAGTGAATGGCAACGGCCACATCGTGTGCAAGGACAATGCACAAGTCTTTCTTAGGGACCATGAAAGGAAAGCAAGCCCACAACCGCCTCACAGCCCCACAGCGCATGTACAGAGTTCTACCTTCAGTTTAACCCACAGTATTCGTTTAGTCTAGGAACGAAACGCAGTTAACACTGTCATCTCGACTTTCTACATAGTTTTACTATCATATTAAAGGGTAGAATGTATTACTGATGATGTCAAGACCCTAGATAATATCCAGTATTTCCTAAAAGGGAAAATAATAACGCATTAAATAAAGGCTATCAAAGCTACTTTCCTTTCAAAGAGAAAAGCTGTCAGAAAATGGCTACATTATGGAGGAAGCTCGTGAAAGGTAGCTTTTATTTATGCGGTCTGACTCCAGGCAGCCAAGGGCACTGTTCACCTGAGCAGGTGGTGGAAGAATCTCCTGGCATACTTGCTGACGGGGTCTCTGTACTCCAAAACAGTTGTATCCAGAAGTGGTCTCGTTGGCGCATAGAAGGTTCCCAGGCTCGCCTCAAGCTGCGCTGTGGGATTCAAACACAGCAGCACTAAGACAAGAGAAACTCCTTCAATTACAACAGAATATTCGTGTCTGCAGTCAGTCAGGTTCTGCGAACTGGGATGAAATGTGAGCTTGTTGCAGGACAGATGAAATTAAAATATGACAGATGCTACAAAACAAACCTGTGTATAGGCTGTCACATGAGACAAAGCTGACAATGACTCTGAGCAACAAAAAGCTGTCAAAACTGAAGGCATCCACAATGAAACGACCTCTCACCACAAATGGGTAATTAAAACAGTGACTCCTCAAAGCAACACCGTTTAAGCTAGGCTCTCCAGTAAAGCCAATGTGCAATGTGCTCAGCGGTACGTCTTCTCTTTAGCGGAGAGAAGAAAACTAACTTTTTGAAAATGAAAATTAAATGAAAATTAAATAAAAATGAAATTAGCACAGTAGAAACATTTTCCTTAAAAACTACCAATAAGGGGCCAGCAAGACAGCTCAGCAGATAAAGGCATTTGCCGCCAAGCCTAACAACCTGAATTCAATCTCCAGGACCCATGAGGTAGAGGAGAGAACTGAGTCTACAAATGTTCTGACCTCCACTCACACAACATGGCTAATGGGCACGTGCGCGCACACACGCACACACACACACATACTATATATATATACTTTCATATATAATTTCTTAAATTAAATAAGACAAATAAAAACTTGCATATTGGAGTAAGATACGTATGTGATGCAATTTTAGGAGAACAATGAAAATCAGTATCTCGTCCCTAAATCCTGTCATAAACAAGGTTCCGTGTTTTGTACTTTCATGAAAGCGAACACCCTGGGATAGGAGAAGATTGGAAAGATGTTTTTCATAAATGGGGGAGGCTCAGAGATAAGAGATTAGGGATAAGGAGCGGCCTGTCTACTTCACAGTTTTACCAAGATATGCCAGTGGGACTGTGCTTCTGCCCAGAAATACCTGGGAGTGATTACCGTATGGAGAGAACATGAGTATGTATGAGTACACTACAGTTCACAGTCAGGTTCCTCTGATATTTATGCTTCCAACACTGGAGGGAATAAACAACTCATTATTTAGCAAAACTCTTTTAGTTGTGGGCCTATTTAGATTTCCAAGTAGTAAATACCCCGTTCCAGTAATTGCTATGGCTTGACTAAGCTTTAGCAATGTCTTTATTTTTTCAATCTCAAATCTACAGAGTAAAGCAGGATGCATTTTGGAGGTATTTTCTTTCAAAGCAGCAGTCAATTTAGATTAAAATTGAACATAGCACTGTCACTGTGAAAACAAGCCAGATTCTCTTGCCATTGCTTGTTTTCCTGACAGCATGTTCCGTACATCTGAAATGTTCAAGCCTACATGGAATACGGGTAACTCCCAGCACAGCAACGAATTCATTAGGGCGCCCAGCTTGATGTTTAAGACAGAAATGAAGATCTCAAAGACAGACACAACACGGCTAGAAATAACAGCGCACTAGGTTTCACTAATAAAAGGATAACGAATTACCATGCCAAATTTGTTAGATTCAGATAAAATAAATCTCAACAGGGAATTTTGAATGTTTTAGAAATGTGTTTTGTAGTTACCTGAGAAGAAATGCACATATCTACTTAGCATATTCGGATAACCCAGGATATGTATAGATTTTGTTTTAATAGCTCAATATCATAACAGCTTTTCATTTCTCTATCTCTCCAATAGGAGTCTGTGAAAAGAATCCCTTATTAGGATAGGAATCTGATAATGCCCATTTGTGTATTTCTTCATAATCTTTCTTACAACCTAGCAATTTAATAACATAAATTCACTAAGGTGCTGGCAACTTCTCAGTGTCTTGAGTGAAACTCAGTATTTTATCTCTCAATATTTCTGCTTTCACTGTAAATTGGGACTTATTACACAGAACAAGTATACCACTATAGACGTGGGGGGTCTCCGCTCTTGCTTTCTTTGTTACTTTTAGGTGCATACTCAATCTTGAGAAGTGTATCAATATTTAAAAAAATAACTACTTGAGAGATCTTTGTAGGCAAAATTATACTAACACTTTACCCCCTAAAATCTTGAGGTTATACTTTTTATTTTTAGCCTATATTTCTTGAATACCAATAGTGGGCCAGGCATTGTGGTAGGCATTTTCTTCATGTACAAACACTGATGTTTCCATAAATGAATTTGGACTACTTCCAAAAAGTTCAGTTGATTCTTAAACACACCTGTTAGAAGGGAACTCTGTGAGTTAGGTCAAGGTTAAAAAGAGATTCATGAGTTTACTGGCCAACTGCAGAATCTTATCAAAAAACTTATTGTATTAAAATGAGCTGCTTGTTCATCCCGACCTCCCAGAACCAAAATAATCACACAGAAACTGTATTAATTAAATCACTACTTGGCCCATTAGCTCTAGCTTCTAATTAGCTAACTCTTACATCTTAATTTAACCCATTTCTATTCATCTGTGCATCTCCACGTGGATTACTGACGTCTGTCTCTGGCATGGCTACATGGCTTCTCTAACTCCTCCACCTTTTTCCCAGCATTCCATTTAGTTTTCCCACCTAGCTCTGTTCCCCTATCATTCTGCTATCAGCCCAAAGCAGTTCCTTTGTTAACCAATGATATTCACAGAATACAGAGGGGAATCCCATATCACTTATTGTTTATTTTGGAAATGTAATAAAAATAAATAAAGTCTATGAAAACTCACTAAAAATCCTAAGAAAGAAAATGTTCTCTAGGAACAGACCTACCCTAATTTTCTTATCCTGCATTGTTAAGTGATACTGTCTAGTCATAATTTCCCAATGTTAATATTAGTAACCAAAGATATAAAATACATTTGATACATTTTATATCATAGAAAGGAATAATAACTCATACTGAGAGATGTAAAAATCTGTCATTTGTTTTTTCACTGCTCTTTGCCTCAACAGTAAACACTTTGGATTTTTATGGGAAAATTCCAAAAAAGATGAGGAAATCCAAGCAAGAGAAGGGAGATGGAAATCAGAGGCAAATATCCAAAGAATAAAGACAAGTAGGAGTGGGCTACAGAGAACCCAGAGATAGCCTAAGCTACAGAGAACCCTGAGACAGCCTGGGCTACAGACAACCCCGATGCACACATTGGGAGTGTGGGCAACTACTGTCAGACAGAGGACTTAGGTGTGAGAAAAAAACATTGGTGTTTAATATGAGAGGAGAATGATCTTGGTTTGGTGTCTTTTCTATGCAAAGGATTAAATGAAATTTCTGATTGAATTTTGAAATCTGAACACATTCCACACATGAGTTTGACTGAATTGTGTGACAACGACCCTGGGAGCTCCAGCACAAGCACAGGCAGAAAAGGTGCCCTCTGTGTTGACAAACGCCACACAGGAAATAATCTGGAAATAATTTTTTGATATCCTTCCAGTTTTAATACACCATTAATATTTTCCTCCCTCAGCTTCCAACAACATAACTAACAAACATCCTAAGACTGACTCAAAATGGGTTTCATGCACACTCAGAACCACTGACGTGACTATTGGGTCTGACCTTCTCTCTCTGGAGTGAGCCTTTGTCTAAGAAGGTGGTTCACGATGGCGCTCATGCTGACGAAGCACTGCTGGCCCAGAGTGTCCCAGTTCATGCTGCTCAGGATGTTGATTGCCTCATTCACCTCACCACAGTGGAGGTACTGGAAGATGAGGTCGACCAGGCCCAGCTGTCCTTGAGTGAGGATGCCTGTCACAAAACACAAAGTAAAGCAATAAAACCAAACACACTCTTTACAGAAAGGAAAAATACACAGAGGCCCAGTGGTTTGCCCCTTCTAAATAAAACAAATCCACTTCCCATCCCGACAGAGCAGGGGCATTAGAAAGAGTTCAGACTGAGTCAGAAGAGGCCAGCAGCAATTTTTGCATGTTAAATGGCAACACTGTGGCTCTTAAGCACTATTCCATTTTGTTTTGGTTTTGTTGGTTTGGTTTGGTTTTTCATCTTTTAAGAATGGGGCTGGGAAGACGTCCCAGCTGATGAACTGCTTGGTGAGGAAGGAACGTGAAAAACCAGGCACACCCGTGACCCGGCTAGCTGAGCAGGAGAGCTCCAAGCTGAGAGAGACCAGAAAGACGGAAAGCAACTGAGAAAGATTCCACACTGATCCCTGGCCTCCACATGCATACACACGTGTAATCGTACACACAAATATGTAAATTTCCACACAACAAAGGAAAAAATTTAAATGCTAACTGTAAATTTTATCTTCAGCGAGTGTTTTATTGATTTAGATAAGTCTATAAAAACTTGGTACAAATAATCATAAAACTAAATGAGAAAATGTCTGTGAAATTATTTTATAAGCTATAAAATATTATAAAACATTACTGTAATGCTTTTATTACTGTCATCAGAATTTAACTGGACTATTTATAGGTTTCATGATTTTCAAAATACATTAGTTCATGAGAAAGACGAAGAAATTCTTCATGCCAACACCACGTTACATAAAAAGAAAAGAACAAACCTACTTGGGCTGCATCTAACAAGACCCAGCTTGACAGGGAATCTGGGGAATTGCCCTAAGTGTACTAAGCAGTAAAACTTTACTGCTCCTTGGGAGCTGGTGAAGTCAACAGCTGTAACCACACAGAGACTCATGAGCCCGTGTCCAGCACTGCAAGTCCCAGCCATAAATCAGGTGGCTCTGGTAGGAGATGTGGATGTGCAGCAGCCTCGCAGGGACTGAAGCAGTCTCCTTCCCGACCTCAGTCAGAGCAGAGTGCTACTGGGAACAAGAGGAGGAAGGAGGCTGCTCTGAGCAAATCCACAGACGACCACAGTGGAGTAGTTCAAAAGGAAGGACAATTGTTTTCATGGTGGTGGAGGAGACACAGGACACAGAGAAACAAGAAGTGAGTGACAATAGGCTTTGCATCTGAAATTATGCAAACTAGAAAACAACAGGAAGATGTAGTTAAAGGGCTTAAGATAAAAATAAAAATAACCTAGAATTCTAAACTCTCAGAGGATTCAAAATTCATGAAGAAATAGAAAAGTCTTTAAATACATCTAATAATAGAGTTCTGAATAATGGAACAAGAACGGACAGAACTGAACAGGGTGGGAGGACCTAAGTAGACAACGGATTTTAGTGCATCCTTCGTGAATCAGAGGATACAGAAACAGAAATTCTGGAAAATACTTGAAAAACACTATCACTGAAAAAAAAAATCACCAAATAGATATATTTATTTATTTATTTATTTGAAAATATTTAACATTTTTATTGCAAAGAAGAAAAATACCTGAAGTTAAAAATCAGCAGTTATCAATATGAAATCACAAATAATTACAGAAAAATAATATTTATGTAAAATATAATCACATCACCTAAACAACCATATACCAAGGTTTAAAATATTCAAAATCTGAAATAGCGTGATTTGGGCTGGTTCTTTAACACTTTACCTTGATATACAATCAAGAAATGTTATTGCTTAATTCATTCTTAATAGAGATATACTTATTAATAATATTTGATACTTGATTGTTATATCTCCAACAATGGTGCATAATTAATTAATTTTACAATAAATGTTTCATGATTATAATATTTATATCTGGACACAATGTTTCTAAATTTATAGGGACACTAGTACCGGATAAGTATTGAGTAAGCTTGGAAAGTAATTGTAGGATTTGAATCTGTAGAATAACTTGTTCAGTGTACAAAGACTGGTAAATTAAATTGGTGCGAGTTATACTAAGGAAATTTTGGAAGTGAACCCATTGCATGAATTTTCTGATGCCTTCTAATATTTGAGCATGTAGTAAAGGATTTGCCACATTCTAGACATCTGTAAGGTTTCTCACCAGTATGGATTCTGTGATGATTGTGAAGGGTTGAGATATTGGTAAAGGACTTGCCACATTCTAGACATATGTAAGGTTTCTCACCAGTATGGATTCTGTGATGACTGTGAAGGGTTGAGATATTGGTAAAGGACTTGCCACATTCTTGACATCTGTAAGGTTTCTCACCAGTATGGATTCTGTGCTGAGTGTGTAGGTGTGAGACAGTGGTAAAACACTTATCACATTCTTGACATCTGTAAGGTTTCTCACCAGTGTGGATCCTGTGGTGAGCTTTAAGATGTTCATGATGAGTAAAGGACTTGCCACATTCTTGACAAATGTTTCTCACCAGTATGAAATCTGTGATTTCACTCAAGTGTTGAGACCTGAGTAAAGGAATCCCCACATTCTTGATATCTATAAGGCTTGTCACCAAAATAGATTCTTTTGTGAGCATGAAGACTTGCATGATGGGGAAATGACTTATCACAGTTTTTATATTTATGTGCCTTCTCTTTGGAATTAATTTTCTTTTGACTACTGAGCCTTGAGTATCTGTTGAAGCTCTTTCCACATTCCTTATAGTTGTATTGTCTCTCTTCATTTAGATTGTTTATATAATGCTTCTCTTGTTTCTGGTCATACAATATTCCAGTTACCAACTTCAGGATTGAATCCTGTGAATTCTCCTGTGCAAATATGTCTTGTGTTTGATGGGAGTATAGAACTTGTTCATTGCCTTCTTTTTCTCTAATGTTCACATTTCAGGGCTCTTTGCTTTGTTCAAGATAACTGATCAGGTTTGGTTTTGACACTGAAATACCCACAGAGACCATATTACTGTAGGTCTCTAACATGACATCCCTGTACAAAGCCCTCTGAGCAAAGTCCAGGCAATCCCACTCATCTTGAGAGAAGTCTATTGACACATCCTTGAATGTCAAGATTTCCTCATTTGAAGAAAGAGAGGTGCCAATGAAAGAATTCCTCCAACAACATAAAAAGCAACATGGGAACACCAGAACCCAGTGGTCACACAACAGGAAGACTTGATCATCCTTTAATAATGTGGCAGGATACAAGATCAACTCCAAAAAATCAGTAGCCCTCCTTGTTCATTGCTATCTGTCTCCTTCATTCACATTCCAGGGCTTTTTGCTTTCTTCAAGGCAGTTGATCAGTTCTGATTTTGAAACTTTGAGACGCATGTATTAAAAGAGACAGAAGACCATTTGTGGGCATAATGGTGAAAAGGCATGAAATTATAATACACCACTGTAGTAATTAGGAAAGAAAGCATATAAGATTCCAAATTTAATTTCACATTGCCATCTATTAGTATTTTAAAGCATTGAAATATATTTTATTAATATTGTCAACCTTGCTTTCCTTGTAAAATTACTGCTCAATCTAAATTCAATTATGCAATGAAATATTAAGATATAGATCAAAATAAAATCTGTGAAGTGTCTGAATTTTAAAACATATTGTAAATGATTGAAGAATGCATACCATCCTCACCATAGGTGAATATATTGACAAAACGATCTTGACTAATACATTGTATTCTTCATGATGAATATCCACAGTTATTTTCAACTATACTTCAACTGGACCACTCAGACACAGATATAAATCATTCTTGACTGAAACAACTATGATGAACGTGGAATAATGAAGAAAATATAGGCTCAACCACAGAGACAAAATTGATGTAGTTCTCCAACATGTAGCCTCTGTATAGATGTTCTCTATGCAAAGTTCATGCCTTCCCAACTCTTTTGAGTAAAATCTATAGCATATTCTTGAATAGAAAATGTCATAAAAACAATATTATCAATTTTACCATGTGCCTAAGTACATCATAAAACCTCATCTGTTTTATATATATAAATATATATATGTTTTATATATATATAAAACACACATATATAAATATATATTATAATATATTTTATATGTTATAATATAATTTATAATATATTATGAATTTATATATAAATGTATTTTTATAAATATAAAATATATATTTTTTATATTTATTTTTCATGATTGGTCATATGTAGTCCAGGTGGCTTCAGACACTTTGTAGAGGATGGTCTTGAACTTCTGATCTCCTGGCTTCTACCTCTCCTATGCTGGGATTACATATATACACAACCATGCCTGTTCCAAATGAGCTACATTCTTGACCCTACAGTTGTCAAATACTTTACCCAACAACAGTGGAACATGCATTCTTTTTGAGGACACATAGAACACGAACCAAGCTAAAGCATGTTCAGAGTAATAAAATATCCTACAGTACATTTCTAACGTTGGAAATCATATGACTAGATTAGATCCTCTAACATCAGAGGAATTAGATATAAAAACAGAGAGATACCTAGGAAATCTCCAAATACTGACAAAAATATGTCAGCAAGTGAGATTTATCACTTGAGATCAAACCCTGAGGAACTGGAGAGATGGCTCAGCAATCAAGAGCACACACTGACTGCTCCAGTACCTATACCGCACAGCTGACAACTCCCTGCACCTCCGGCTCCAGGGGCTCCATCGCCCTCTTCTGGACCCTGTACCGCACTCGCATGTCCACATACCCCTCCCAAGATTAAAATAAAACAAATCTTCAAAGTCCACTAGAAATGGTTGTTAAATTTTAAAAAATAAAAATATGAATAAAAAGAAAAATAACAATGAAGAAAACACATGGCACTACCCCGAAGACGCGCACTCCAAAAGTCATCGGGGAAACGAAATGGACGATCCTATCCACGCGCTCCAGCGGCTAATGCTGAAAAGAGCGCCTATGTCAAGTCCTAGGAGGACGTGGAGCCACTGCTGCTCTCGCTGCGCTTCCACCACTAAACTGCACAGCCGCT